TAGGTCTACTTTCATTGCATCCCATAGGTTCCTGTGTCTTGTATTGTGAAATATGTGGTTTCACTAATTTAACTGTAGAGACTGTTTAATTTCTTCTTTGGTTTCCTCTGTGACCTATTGGTTGTTGAGGAGGGTGTTATTTAATTTCAAAATGTTTGTACAGTTTTTGTGACTTCTTTTTGCTGTTTATTTCTATTTTCATTGCACTATGGTCAGATAATATGCACGGGATAATTTTAATTGATCTGCATTAACTTAAACATGTTGTATGGGCTGGTATGTGGTCTATTTTGCAGAATGTCCCATGTGCATCTGAGAAGGATGTGTACCCTGATGTTATAAGGTGAAACACTCTGTAGACATCTACTAAGTCCATTTATTTATAGGTTTGGTTTAGTTCTGATATTTCTTTGTTGATGTTGTGTCTAATTGATGTGCATCTTTGTGATAGTAGGGTATTAAAGCCCCCCATTATAATTGCATTGGTGCTAATTTTGATTTTTAGTGTCCATTTTGTTTTATGTAACTGGGTGCACTGGTATTTGGTACATATATATTTATGATACTATTTCTTCTTAGAATTTTACCTTAATAAGTATGTAGTGGCTTTCTTTGTCTCTTTTGATGAATCTTAGCTTGAAGTTTACATTGTCTACAAATATAGTAGCTACTCTTACTCTTTTCTGGGTTCCTATTGCACAGAGTATTGTTTTCCAACCTTTGACCTGTAGTCTATGAATTTCTTTTTGAGTTACATGTGTTTTTTGTATGCTGCATATTGTTGGACAGTGCTTCTTGATCCATTTTCTCAGTCTGTTTCTTTTGATTAGTGAGTTAAGCCCATTTACATTGATGGTTATAGCTGATATATATTGGCTTATCTTTTTCACATTATTTTTCTGTTGTTAGTTCCCTGTCTTTCTCCTCTGTTTAATTTTTTGCCCTGCCTAGTGGCTTCTTTCTATTGGTGTTCTTGTTGTGATTTTTGTTTTCTCTTTCTAATGCATTCTTCAGAGCATTTTGGAGAGCTGGTTTGATTGTTATGAATTTCTTCAGTTGTTCTTTGTCATGAAAGTATCTTTTTCTGTATTTTTAAAGTATTTGAAAATCAGATTTTATTGGTAAATTTTAGATATACTAATGGTCACATTCATCATAGAGACTTTCTACCTGTACATGATATAAATTGATTCTTTTTTCCCATTCCCCTACCCTCCTTTCAATCCTTCCTCCTCCCCCATTTACAGAAGATTTGTTTCCATTTTTCCTTTTCCTGGTTTTTAAAAAATTTTCCCTTCTTTCCTTTTCCCTTTCCCCATCACTATGGTGATGGTTATGGCCCAAGACAATGACAGTGTTGTCATGTAAGGGAGAACAATTGATTATGACAGGTATGACACCTGGCTTAAGTAGTACAGTAAGCAATAACAATAGCATCAAGCACAGCCTAGCTACCGACAAACTATGGTAACTAATATCCTGATACCTTGAACCACAAAAGCAGATTCTCCAAATATAACAAAATACAACACATACCAGGAACTTGTATACAATAATTTTCCCCTTACAGGGTGATTTTACACTGTTGCAGGCATTGGGGAGATTTAAAAGGGATGGGGACAAGAGACAGAGATGAATGAGTTCAAATATAGTAGAAGCAGGGTAAAGGATGATCACCCAAGTTTTGGGAAAATTTTGAGAACAAGAGTAAAAGAATGAAAGAGAAAGTAGAAGAGTATTGAAATGGACCAGAAAGAGAAGACACAATACTCACTCACCTGAAAATATCATAGAATCAAGAGAGATAGTTGAGGAAAGAGAGAAAGATGATGAGTACAAGAAAATAAAAAGAAAGGTAAGAACCTAAATAATGAAAAAAGGAAGAAAAAATCCAACCAGACAGAAAAAGGAAAACCCATCAAACAAAGAGAATGAAAAGTAGCAAAATTCCTCTAGTGTCCACAGTCTGTGGAAATGTCAAAGTTGGATCCCAGGACTGTGCTGTGTACTCCAGCCACATTTGCAGTAGGGTTTGTGTAGGCACAGAGCTGATCTTGGCCTCTGGATGTGGGGCCTTGGACTGGCTTCTGTTGCTGGAGTTCTCCTCTGAGCCCTTTTATATAGAATGGCAGCCCCACCCACCTCACCTACTTCTGTTCCATGTCTGTGTGCTGACGCACAACACCAGTTCACCTAACTTTACCAACTGCTGACTCATAGTCTCATTGCTGCTTCAGACTTTTCCATGCTGCTGGTCCTGCCTGCTGGCATGCACCTGGGCTGGCTGTGCTCCCCACTGGTCCTGCCTCTTGTCCCAATTATTGTGTTATGGTTTGCGTCTGGGTGTCCCCCCAAAGCCTCATGTGGTCATGGGGCAGGCTTTTAGAGTTTGATTGATTATGGGTGTGAGAGCTCCACCCGCCCTGGGGTGGATAGTTTGCATATGTAAGGGAGAGGAAGAGGCTGCTTGCGGCCATTCCTCCCTTCTAGTGGTTGTTGCTTTTGCTATGTTCTGCTGCCATGAGCTGTAGCCCTCTGCCATGTGCCACTCTGCTTTGTAACCTGCCAAGTATGGACTGAAACCTCCACACACTGTAAGTGAAATAAACCTTTCCTACCTTAATTTTGGGCATCAGGTATTTTGTCCCAGCAAAGAGAAAAGTAACCAAGACATATTGTTATCTCAGTTTTTGTTAATGCTCTAAGCCTCAGTTTTTTCATCTGTACATTGGGAATAAACGATTCCTAACATACAGTGTTTGTGAAGTTCAATGGGATACTGCAAATGAAAATGCCTACCCTAGCACCTGACCCAAAGCACACTAAATTTCTTTTAGGATGAGAGGGGGTGGCTAACAAGATTTCTATGCTGTAACAATGGGGTGGAGAGTAAGCCTGACATCTAGTGGCAATTGTGCCAACTGCACCTCATGCAGTTGTAGGATTGAACCTGAGATTCCCCTACTCCTCAAGATGATGATACTTCTCGTAACACCCAATGTGATCCTTCTATCACCTGCCAGTCACAGTAATCTGAGTTCACTCACTGAGGTTTCACAAAGGAGAGACTGCCAGGTAAGGAAGATCTTGATTTTATGCTCTTCATCAAAAGGGATTTTGCACCTGCAGGAAGGCAAAGACAAGAAACTATGTTATTAATGAGTCAACTTCCTGGTCTGCAAAGCCAAGCAAAACTAAACCAAATTCAGAAAAATCTCATAAAGGAAAACCAGTATTTGTAACTCCTTCTTTGTAAACATATCTAAGTTTGAGGCAAGCCTACAGAGAAACTATATTATCCTTCCATCACTTCTGTGTATTCTCTCAGAAGCAGAGGATCAATTATAGCATTCCCCTATATTTGATAAGCCTTCACCAACAAGTATTAATTTACCACCAGCTATATTCCCAGAGAAATGTTGATCCTCGAGAATAGGAGTTGAATAAGATTGATTCAGCACATGCTCTTAAAGATCTTATGGACTAATGGGGAGATAAACAGGTAATAAATAGAAAATCTGAAGGACATTGTGACACAGGAAACGGAGGTATGCAAACATATGGAAAACCATGTGTGTGAAATTCCTGCCACTGAAGCAAATTATCACTCATCTAGAGGCTAAAAATATTTTTCAAACACAAAAATTCTCCATCTTAAAGTTGCAGAGTTTAGAAGTCCAAAGTGGTACTTACAGGGCTGATGAAGGTGCCCACAGAGCTATGTTCTCTTGGCTGCTCTAGAGAAGTGCATATTTTCCTTCCAGTCCAGCTTCTAGAGGGGTCTCTTGTCACATTTCCTTTCCTAATTCTTTCTCTTCTGACTCCTTTTCATTGGGATACTGTGATTATGTCAGGCACAGCTGGATAATCCAAAATTATCTACCTGTTTTAGGATCCTTAACATAACCACATCTGCAAAGCACTTTAGCAAGGTGCTGAATGTATTTGAATGTGGTTTGCTGTTCTCCTAAAGGTTCCTGTGTTGGAAACTTGGTCTCTGGGGTGGCAGTATTGAGAAATGGTAGGACCTTTAAGAAGTAGGGCTTAGTGGAAGGCTCTTGGGTCAGTTGGGACCTAACTATGGAGGGCATTGAGATATTGCTTATGGGACTCCAGTTAGTTCTCATGATGGAGTTGTTATAAAAGCTTGGGTCTGACCTCAGTATCTCTCTAGCTTCTTGCTTGAGGATGTGAGTGCTCCTTCTGCAATACATCTGTCATCTTCCATGGGGTCCTTGCCAGAGTCCTGCCATGTTGTTTGTACACTCAGTCTCCAAAACTGTAAGCCAGGGCCAGGACTGTGACTCTGATGGAGTGCTTACCTAACATGTGTAAAACCCTGGGCCCTACCCCTAGCACTCCTCTCCCTCAAAAATCAAAAACAAAAGCACACCTATGAGCTAAATATACCTCCATTCTTTATAAAGTTAGTCCACCTCATTTATTTTGTTATAGGAATGAAAAACTGAATGATTCAACGTGTTATATAATATTTTAATAGATTTTAGGCATTCCAACATGGACATATTTGAGAAAACATTATTCTGTCTAATGTACCATCTTATACAGACTTGGGAATCAGGAAGGCTTCCTAGAGGAAGAAACATCTGAACTAAAACTAAACTGATTTTTAAAGTATATTTCCAGAAAAAAAGTAGGGTAAGTGAAGAAAGCAGGCCAGTCATAGAGAAGAGTATTTCCCCAAAAGAAGAAAAAGATGAGGGAAGTTTCAAAAGTGAAAGAAAGTACTTTTGTAGAAATACAGAAAGTATGCTTTAGCCAGAAATAAACATCCTCATGTACAGTCAATTAATTTTTAACAAAGATACCAAAAACATGAAACAGGGAAAAGACAGACTCTTCACTAAATAGTGCTAGGAAGACTGGATATTCATGAGAATGAAATTGGATCCTTTTCTCATACCATATGCAAGAAAAAACTCAAAATAAATTAAACTTTACAACATAAGAACTGAAATTATGAAAGTACTAGAAGAAATGGAAGAAAAAGAGTATGACATTAGTCAGGAATGATATTTTATTTTTTATTTTTATTTTTTTTTTGGTTTTTCTCCGGTACCAGGAACCGAACTCACGACCTTGCGCTTGGCAGGCAGGCGCTTTGCCGCTGAGCTAAATCCCCAGCCCCAGGAATGATATTTTAGATACGAACACAGAAACATAGGCAACAAAAACAAAAATGGACAAGTGGAATTACTGAAAGACCTCTATACAGCAAATGAAATAATTAATAGAGTGAAGAGATGACCTACAGATTTGGGAATATATTTGTGAATTGAACATCAGACAAGGGATTCATATCCAAAATATGTAAGGAACCAAGAACTCAACAGCAAAAAGTAAAGAAGCCAGTTAAAAATGAGCAGAAGACCTGCATGGCCACTTCTCAAAAGAAAATATACTAATGGTATAGTCAAACAGATACATGAAGAAGTGTTCAGCATCACTCGTATCTAGGAAATGCAAATTAAAACCGAAATGAAATAATTCACACTATTAGGATATCTAGATGAAAAAGCTAAAACATTATAAGGGTTGACAAATGTAATGGTTAATACATTTAACCATTTGCAAGAAATGGTTAGGATCCTTTAGGATCCTTTTCAAGCTATGTGCTAACTTGAGAAATTTGGAAGCTTAACTCAGTAACTCAGCAGTTCTACGTTCTATCATGTACAGAACATGCCCCAGGGCAGCTGTATATGCTCCAGGGTATTGTAATGGTTGATTCATTGTGTCAACTTGAAAGTTAAGTTTAACAGCAGGGGACCAGGATCCTCACTTTGAAAACATCCTGAGTCTGTTCAAAAGGAGGGCATGGAGATGATGTGTGTGTCAATGACCCACCCTAGGGCAGGTAGCCTGCGTACAATACAAGGGAGGAAAAGAAGCCCATTCCCCCTTTTTTTGCTCTAATTTTTGCTGTCTTCTGCCACCTTAAAGTGTTGCCCCTCACCATGCCACCCTGCCTCGGAGCCAGTTGATTACGGATTGAAACCTCCACAAACTGTGAGCTAAACAAGTCTTTCCTTCCTTAATTTTGGGTGTCAGGTATTTTGTCTCAGCAACAAGAGAAAAGTAATTAAGTCAGCAAAGATTTAAAGAAAAAAAGCCTTTACATATAATTAGTTGAAATGAAAATTAGTGCACTCATTATGGAAAACAAGTTGGAGATTCTTCAAAAAATTAAAAATAAAACTACATATGACCCAGCAATTCCATTACTGGTAATGTAGTGAAAGGACATGAAATTAGCATCTTGAAAAGCTATCTGCACTCATTACAGCATTATTCACGATAGTCAAGATATGGAAGCAACCCAAATGTTCATCAATAGCTGGGTGTGTGCAGAAAATGTGGTAGAATATCTTTGAGAAGACACCCTTTAGAATGAAGGAAACCGTATCACCCCTGACAACAGACAAATGTGGAGGACATTTTGACAAATGAAATAAGTCAAGCACAGGAAGGCGATACCACATGATCTTATTTATATGTGGAATCTAGAAAATCAAACTCACTCAAGCAGAGAGTAAGAATAGTGGTAACCAGGAGCTGGGGATGGGATGCGGATGGGAATAAACTGATCAAAGGGGTCAACTTCAGTTAAACAGAAAAATGATCTTGGAGGTCTATTGTGCAACGTGGTCATTACAATTAATAATAGTGTATTCTATGTGCAAAAACTGCTAGGAGAGGAGACTTTAAATATTTTCACCACTAAAACTAGGTGTGTTAATTAGCTTGATTTAATCATTCCACAGTGTCTACCTATATTAAAATATCATGTAATACTTTATAAATATATACAACTACTATTTCTTAATTAAAATTTTAAAAACTTTAACTAAAAGCAGAAAAATTTGAAACTCCATAGTAGAGAACTTGGGGAGGGGGAGTTAGATAAAAATACTAAATAAAGAAAATTTTTTTAATACAATAAAATATTTCCTTTGAGAGAAAATAATGAATTTGAAAAAAGGAAAGAAATTTGGGGCTGTGCAGTACAAAAGGGAGGGTGTGAAAAGTAATCATAAGTGAGATTGTGGAGAACTTGTCAAAAACTGCATTATGGGCTTTGGAGGTTATCCTAAGCATGATAAAAGACTTCAAGTAAAAATACCACCTTACACTACCATGAAATGCAGCTTAGAAAAGGGTATGGAGGGAGGCTATTGCAGGAACACAGAGGAGAAATGACAACAGCCTTCATTCCGGACTTAGTGGTCCACGACACAGATTAACAAAGCCCCTTCACCCACCAAATATGTGATCTGCAAGAGCCTTAACTTTTCTAGAACCTCCAGTTTTTCATGTGTAAGAATGAGACTATCACTGGAGCTCATTAGAGCTTACTTTGAAGTATTCTGAAGATTAAGCGAAGAAACACATTTTAACATTTACTATAGGGCCAAGTCCAATAAATGTCCAATAAAGCTTAATGACTTATTTAATGGTTACTTCAGTGGGAATAGAGGTAATTGAGGAAATTCAAAAGAACTTAGGAGAAGAAAATAACATAACTAGTGACCAGTTGCAAAATATAAGGTGATATTGGCCAGGAAGGACAGGTTAAAACTCTGTGTCTGAGTGGAGAGCTGGATGAGTGATGCTCTGATGAAGGTGGACCAGAACACAAGAGAAGAGACAGGAAGTGAGTGCACTGGATGATGATAGCAATTGGTCTGTTTTTGAATTTTGACTTTGAGGGTGACTACAAGACTCCCAAAAAGAGAGATCTAGTATGTGCTGGTTGGATATATTTAGGGAGATTTGACCTAGAGCTGTTTGAGAGTCACTGATTGAATCTCTCAGAGAGTGAATGAACATACCTGAAGAGTACTTTCTACACATAAAGAATGAGGAAAGAAGACTTAGGCGAGAACCCTGGGAACATGGATGAAGAGGACACTTTCATTCTCGTGGCATTTATTATCTTTTTTGCAATTGCCTGTTTAATGTCTCAGTCACATAAACCCACTGGACTGAAAGCTCCCTGAGGGAAGTCACTGTGTCTAGCATTCTCACCACTGTAGCTTGAAAGAGCAAAAAATTCCCCTGTCTGAAATACAAAATTTTTTCCTTCCTTTAATAAACTCCTT